AATTTGAGGTATCTTTGAAGCACATATTGTACTTCGTTGTAATTTTCTTGAACAGAGAAAAGATGCGATAGATACATACGTTTCTGCGATTACAATTATTGTGCTTACAATTTTTGAGAAAAAAAGTAATTTTATAGGAGACTACTTTAAAAGTTGATCAATTTTCGACTAATATAAAGACTTTTACTTTCTCGCGTTTGTTAGTTCTGTTAAAGTCTCTCTTTAATGTGCATTAAAGATGTTTACATTTTACCTAGTACGTTCTAACGGTATTTTATATTTTTTTAAATGTAATTTTGCGTACGTGTATTACGGAATACGCGCACCATGCAAATACCTAAACACAATCAGAATCCAGTTGAACAACTACAGATGTACAATTTTACAGACGTGACTTTCCATAAGCGTTTCAACAATGTTTGCAATATTCTAAGTCTATTTTGCATTGCATTATTTCTGTTTTTTTCCATATATTAACGAGTCTTTCGTAGCTATTCAGTTCAAAGTATGTACTTCTACATTATTTTAATAATCTTTTCTTGACAATTGTATTTGTACATATTTGGCAAGCTTTTGAAACACTGGAAATCAACTACATGTGTTACACAACAAGTCGGGTATAATACGTGATTGTTTTCCATAGGTTGTACTGCAAAAATAGCTAGCAGATTCCCCTACAGACATGATATTGGTGGATTGGTCTAATTCAATGTACTAACAACAATCCAATCTTGATCTTTGTTAATTGGGGAATCGTATTTGCCAGCGCTAAGTTTCGAGTAATATGGCACAATATTTTAACGTTGCGACCAATGCCAGTGGTACTTTCACATTAGAAGAAGTACCAGGAATCTGTACCGACGAGTAACGAATTCAGTTAGTTGTTGGAGACGTTAATAATAGCAGTAATGGTTCACAACGGCTTGTGACTTACGCTACTGCACAAAACAGGCAGGCAATATTCTCCCCGCAAACTATTAATTTAGGGAATCAGATATCTGCAGCGCGATTGGAACAAGGGTAACTTACTACAGCATGTATTTTCAATTGCTCGAATTGCATTGGGATAGTAGAGCAGCTTTAAGCTTTTGATATTTTACGAGAAGTGTACAGAACTCGAGATTTAATTTATTTTTGTTTTGTTTTGTAATTTCAATAACTCCCAAAAGTAATACATGGGGCATTGATACAATACTGGTTGTACGAGATATACTTTAATGGTTCTGAAATATATTATAGATATCTTAATGTGTGGAATGCATATCTTGACACTTTACATACCGTACAATGGGCCATACATTTTGAGATTACGTTGTTCCGATTTCTGAAATGTATAGTAACTATGGATATTATTAGAGAGAACGCATTTAAGATTTTTGATGAAAATTTTGCACACATTGACGTGTTGAATTTTAACTCTTTTTTTTTTACACGATCGTGTAACATGGAACATTTTTGTAACAGGTGCTTCTTAAAGTAGTCTTCTATCATACTATTGAACAACCGCATATATTGTATATGTGTAATTGAATTTTAAATATGATTTTTGGTTAAAATAGTGAAATATGTCTCTAAGTATCTATATTTTGCACATTTTATAGACATAAACAAAAAGGTATATTTTTTTAATGTATAGCAGTATATGTTAACTCTAATTACATGGAATTCTATTTTACGTAATACAATTTTTTGTATAAATATTTAAAGCAGTGGAGTTGCATTTGCAGTATAACAAGACATGTTGCAAAAATATAGAGTAATTAAGAACACTGTAAATTCTTCTTTTTGAATTTTTTTTCATTATAGTTGTTATATTTGTCTCATCTAACATTTGTGATACACACACATTTACGTTTACTGTCGATTTTTATGAGGATATTTGTTTCGTTTGTTAGAAAGAAAAGTGAATGTTTTACCTTTTATACAGGAGAGTTTTCTCTTGCACGTATGTACCTCAAAGAAAATATTAGCAAAATAGTCATAAGCCTGCGTACTAATTTATTGATTATGGTGTGTAGTGTATGTATGTATGCGTATAAAAAAATTGTATTTTAAGCTAAAGCGCACATATCAAATTTAATAAGTCATAATGATTTCAAAGTGAATATATATTTATGATAGAAGCAATCAAAAGCCATGATAAAAAATTTTTAATGATAAATAGAAAATTGTGTATAATATATTTGGTACAATCGATCCTTAACATGTGTGGCCTATAAGCGAGTTTTTTTGCACCAATGATTATTCCGTTCAAAAAGTTTCTCAACTTACCAAGTATATTGTATCAGTTTTTAATCTGTCAATACTCTTTCTTTCTGGAAACTTGGAATCTAAGGAAACGTAGGAGTAGCAATGTTAAAATTATTATAATCTGATTTAAGAAATGCAACCAAAATATATAAGTTTAACAATAAGTCCTATTTTGAAAATATAAATAGAATTTCTTTTCTTTACTTAAAGCGAAGCTTTTGTCAAATAATCGTTTACCATTATAAAGTTGTATCTCGCATCCAGGTAGCAAACTTTTGTTCCAATATATTCTGTTTTTCTCATTAGTTTCATCTAATCGCTCATCATAAACAGCATTCCGTAGAATAAAATAGTACATTTGTTTTATCAACATACAGTGACTCGCAAAACTGATCAAACCGTACTATTATTTCGAAATTTCTTTTGAAAATTTGTGAAAGGTATCAGCAGTAAGATGGTAGACATTTGTTTTTACATTATGCCAATATTGAAAAGTTGATTTCATTGCTTTGTTTGAGTCAGATAATCATAGACTATAGACAATTGTGTAGTACATTGACATTTTCACGAGTCACCGTGTCCATAATATCCCTGTTAAAGTCTTACATGTTTAACTAAAATAAGATGTATTACACTTGTATAATTATGATTATAATAGTGTTTATTGCGTTTCAGGCGAAATGTTTTTATAATCGAAACAAATGATATAACTGGAGCCCAGGACATTTTACCAACTGCGGTAAATGCACATATGTTAATAAAAATATTGTGAGCATTGAAAGTGATACAGGTAAGTAAACATTTGCTATATTAATGCTTTACAAAATCTGCTGAGCTATTTAATATTTATATTTCAATGTACATTGGTAGTTTTCTTATCTGCAATACTGCAACCAAGTAATTCTTTTCAGGTGTTAAGGCACAATGTAAAAATGAAGGACAACAAATGCAGCTTATGAAAATACAAAACGCCAATACTATAGTAACAAAGCAAAATACGTTGTTACAAGAAAGAAATCAGACTGCCATTTTTACTAGAAGTAATATACAAAATAACATCACATCAGGAGTGAGTTGCTACATCTTAATTACAACGAAGTCTAAACAAAGAAGTTAAATTTTTTAGGATCTAACAATTATTTTTACCTTTTAGTCGCCTCTTTATGTAAATTCTGGATCATTCAATCCAGGTCAGACGGAGAGAAGAATATTTAAATCATGCCCCAATAAAAATCGACAGGTGACAAACAACATAGTAGGCATAGTGTCTCCAAGTACTCCAGATGTAATAAACGTAGTGACAATGGAAAATCGAATTCAAAACTCTAATGCGACGACTCCCAAATCTACACTATCCGTTTGTAAGACTATCAATTCGCAGAGACAGAATGTGACTGTACGTCCTGTTCGTACTTCTAATCCAAATATGTCGCAAGTGCGATCTGTATCAGTAGTTTCTCCTGAAATTTCTAAAACACTAACAAAAGCGCAGCCTCCGGATATGGAGCATTTAAATAAGCAAATTAAGCAAGCCAAATTCAAACAATTAAACGTACAGAAACAGCATATTGAGAAGTCAAGGTTTCAGCAAAATAACACGCAACGACAACACTCTAACACTTTGCAACCTGTTCAACCCCCGTTGAACACTCCTATACGTCGTATCGTAAATTCTGCGCCACAAAGAACGCAGCAGATTCCGATGTCGCCACAACAAGTACAGAAACCACCTATGGCAACGTCAACCCCTTCGTCAGCTGAACATAATACGCGCGATGGTATGGACAGTATGGAAGTGGATTCTATTGAACATGCTGTGGAGAAAGGGCATGTAACGCAACAATCTTCTCCGCCGCGATTGGAGCATGAGAACAGTGCAAGTGAAAGCATTGCTTATCTCCAAAAAACTATTAGCGACCCAGCAAATGCCATAGTTCAGCATCAGATTCAAGGAAATACCGCTAAAATGTTAGTGATATTAGCCACGGGAGAACAGAAACTAATTACGTTCGACATACCGAACGAGGACTGCACTGTACACGACCTATTGGACCAGGTACATGCAATCTTGGGCAAGATATGTTTCTACAAAGATTTGTAGAAAAAATTGTAGAATGGTGGACAAATTGTTGTGTAGTTGGGAGAATTTCAGAGAAGTTTGTAAGATATTTTCAAATATTAGGGATATCTACCTCAACGTCAACGCTTATTCAAATTTATAAACTTCCTTATGCAATCAA